TTTTAGACAAAAAAAAACCACCCCCGATTTATACAATTTGTTATGTCATGTATAACGGTCTAGGGGTCTTATAGTTTTTTGCCATTCCTATTGTCATTCCTCACCCTTTTTACATGTTTATTGATAAGACCCACGGGGCTTTGAACCGGGATTTTACGGTAAAGGTGCAGATTAACATGCCCTCACTTGCTGACTGAATCTCACTCGTAAAGGCTATATTGCTTTAGTGTAGGTAAATATACAATCATGGCGCTTTACAGCTCAGAAGATGCCTGGTATCCATCGCACAGAACTAGGGTTTGCCTTAGCAGTGGGTGGTGAACCACCAGGCTCACCGACCCAATCCGATCGCTTCCTCCCCCACACTCGCAGTGCCTTCCTGCCCCCTTTTTCCCCGGCTGCTTTCTTCACTTGAATTCCCTTTTCCACAACAATGGTGCGTCTGCATAGATTATTATCTCAGTCCTTGTTACGTTCTCCCCGCGCTCCATCTCACAGTCGTTGCGCGTGTGCTGCTGCAGGCTCGAGGATTGAAGAAACACTTGAAGAGGCTCAATGCCCCGCGGCACTGGATGCTCGACAAGCTCGGGGGAGCCTTCGTAAGATCCTTCCCCTGTCGCCCATGTCTCGTCCATCACGCCTGATTTCAGTCTTCTCCTTTCGTGATTCCAGCCCACCCTCGCTTGTCCCGTGTGCCATTCCATTGTCTCTGTTTCGGAGAATTCTCTTACTTGTCTTATCCACTTGCTGATTATCCCCCGCCTGTTCCATTCTCCGCGTGTGCGCATCAGGCCCCGAAGCCGTCCCCCGGGCCGCACAAGGAGCGCGAGTGCCTGCCGCTGGCGGTGATTCTGCGCAACCGGCTCAAGTACGCGCTGACGTACCGCGAGGTGAACGCCATCGTCATGCAGCGCCTCATCGCCGTCGACGGCAAGATCCGCACCGACAAAACCTTCCCCGCCGGCTTCATGGGTGCGTGCCGCCCCGCCGCTGAGCTCTTTCCTCTCGGACTTCCTCTCCCTATCTCGTGGTGCTTGCGAGACGGACTCTCGTCCAGGACTAGTCAGGGCGCGCACCTTCGCTCGCTCGGTCGCTCGCCGGCTGCTGTAACGGCAGGCGGCGGTGTGACCGAGCGGGTGCCGGCAGTGCAACGCCCGTTACATTCCTGGCACATGGACTGAGAGGTTACGTTGCAGCAGAGTCCGCCGCCCCTGTTTGCGTGCGTCCGTGGCTCTGCCTGCTCCATTGGCCTCCAACATCCCACATTCCGCAGCACATGGACTTATGTTTCTGTTTTCAACTGTCAACGTGTCGTTATTCGCCAAAATTGCTTCGATGAAGGACGGTTGGTCATCACCACTCTTGATCTAAAACTTTCTCGTTCCCTTTCCCGTTCCCATCCCGTTCCGTTGCGTGTGTGTGTGCTTGCGTGTCGGGCAGACGTGGTGTCGATCGCCAAGACGGACGAGAACTTCCGTCTGCTGTACGACGGCAAGGGCCGCTTCACTCTGCACCGCGTCACGCCCGAGGAGGCCAAGGTAAACCCATCCACCCTGCCTGCGGAGAGGGTCTGCAACGAAATACATTGGGGGATTGAAGGGAATGGAAGGGAAGGACCGGGAGCATTTCGGATAGTTTGGTCAGGTGCTTGGAACGAGTGGTGGTGCCACAGCCGGGTGTGAGAAAGAGCCTGTTCTGTCGGCGTGCCACGTTGGTTGCGGTAGCCGAGTACCAAGCCTGCTCTTTTCATGTGCACTCATCTGCACGACATTCTCATTTCCGATCCCCGTGTAGTAGTCATCTTTAGTCTTCCCGTTTGCGTTGCCACTCCACTCGTCCCTCACCCTCCCCGCTCATTTCCCCCCTTTCCTCCCGCCGCTCCCGCTTTTGTGCGCAGTACAAGCTGTGCCGCGTGCGCGCGCAGCGCGTGGGCGACCGCGGCATTCCGTACATCGTGACGAACGACGGGCGCACGATCCGGTACCCCGACCCGGTGATCAAGGTGAACGACACGGTGAAGCTGGACCTGGAGAGCGGCAAGGTCGTCGAGCACATCCACTTCGACATCGGCAACCTCTGCATGGTCACTGGTAGGTCCATGGGGCTGGGGGAGGCAACCTCTGCATGGTCAACGGTGAGGGCTGATAGGGGCTGGGGGAGGTGACATCTGCATGGTCACCGGTGAGGACATGGGGGCTGGGGGAGCTGACATCTGCATGGTCACCGGTGAGTTGAAAGGCAACCTCGGCATTGTCACCAGTAGGTACATGGGGGCTGGGGGAGGTGACATCTGTGTGGTCACCCGTAGGTGTTATCTGCATGGTCACCGGCGAGGACATTATGGGGGCAGGTGGAGGTAACCTCTGCATGGTCACCGATGAGAGGCGCACAGGGGGAGGTGACATCTGCATGGTCACTGGTGACCCCACTGGCAGGGGGAGGTGCTGTCTGCATGGTCACCGGTGAGCCGCCGCAGGGGGAGGTGGTCCATGGTCACTGGTGAGCCTGGCTGCAGGGGCAGGTGCTATCTGCATGGTCACCGGTGAGCGCACTGCTAGGAGAGGTGCTGCTGAATGTGTTGCTACGGGTGAACCACGGATTGGGGTTCACATGGTGCACATTCACGGTTGATTGCTGCTACTTAGCATAGGCCGCACAGTTACGTCCTTCACCCACCTTTTCTGTCCACATGGTCCCTTACCCTCTCCTTTCCCTCCTCCCTATTGATTCCTTCTGTCTCGGAACGGCGCAGGTGGGCGCAACAGGGGACGAGTGGGGGTGATGGAGCACAGGGAGCGGCACAAGGGCAGCTTTGACATCTGCCACATCAAGGACGCGGCGGGCCACCAGTTCGCCACGCGCCTCACCAACGTGTTCCTCATCGGCCAAGGCGCCAAGCCCTGGGTCTCGCTGCCAAAGGGCCGCGGCATCAAGCTCTCCATCGTCGAGGAAATGCGCAAGGCGCGCGCCGCTGCCAAGACCGCCGCTTGAACACGCATCTAGCTCTTGCTTGAGTCGCTGCTGCTGCTTTGCAGGTGGGTTTCTTTTTGTCTCAACATTCTGTATACCTTATGCTGTTGCTGCGTCTGAGTTCTGTTCAAATAAACTGAGAGTAATTCTATCGTATTTTCCTTTCAGGCCTAGGCTTCCCTTCGGCTTTGAGTATGTGTAACAACGCCGGCTGCAACCAGGCCTGTTTTCGTCCAGAAATATTCAGGAGTAAATTCCAAGGAGTGCTTTTGCTGTGGTCCAGTGTTTTTGCACTAGCCCTATACTGACTTGGATGTCGAATCAAGGCTGATTGTAGTGTGTAGTGTTACCTGTCTTGACACTACATGATACAACTGCAGCCTGGTAAGAGCAATCGCCCTTGTACTGATTTCAATTTGTATTTTCTTGTTTCACATTGAATGGAACCTTGTATCTTCGGGCAGGTATAAGCACACTCAAATTACATATTCGGGCTTCACTGTAGAATCATTTATAGTCGCAGAATACAAGCACGTCTTCCCCAGGCCCTGCACTCTCAAAAAAAAATATGCTTTATTGTAAGTGCACCAGCGCTTATATGCGGGTAATACGGTATGTTAGTGCCTGCATAAACGAATATTGAGCTACTATTGTGTCCGCACCCACAAACGGGCATGGTCTGGTCACTATCTGGGGGAGGCGACGAAGCTCGCTCGCAGAGCCAAGAGTAACAGTATGCGGGGTCGCGATTTGCATCGCCGTCTGTTTTTCGCAAAACGTTTGTTCGTGCAACTGTTTGGCGGGAACGGTTTGGTAAAACTAGCGGTGCATTGCGGTGCCACTAAGGGTACATCCCTACCTCGTGTCAGACACAAAGTGGAGGTTTGGATGGAGGTTCGGAAGACCCGAAGTGGCCCACTTCGGGTCTTCCGAACATTGATTTGCCAGAGTTCCAGGTCACTTCGGGTCTTCCTCAACTTCACTTCGTGTCTGACCTCATGTCAGACACGAGCCAAGAATTTACCCTAGCTCAAGGGTCCTTGCTGAGACTGGAATGCATCCGCTGATCCTCACGCACTTCTTGTCATCTGACTGCTCTAGCGTCCTTCAGTCTCAATAGTCTAGCTTGTTCGCGGTGCTATCTTATAGAAACGGCAGACTAATCTAGATGATCAGCCATTAGTCTCTTGTTAGTCCCTGATTTCAAGATGCCAGTCGGATCACCTATTCAGCGGTTGCCGGAGGAGCTGCTGTCTCAGATTCTGTGTTTTCTGGTTCGACCTGATGGTCAGCTGCAGCACGCACTTGTTAGCAAGCAATGGCATCACATTGCGCACCGCTTGCAACATGAGCTCCACTTGCCCTACGACCTCCTCATGGATCCGCGTCAGCTCGTTCAACTCCTGTCGTCGTTCCCTAACCTCAGAAAGCTCATTCTTTCCTCTAGCAGCCTCACCTCATGCTCGAATCTTCTGTTCTCTCGCCTCGCTGACGTGTGTCCGCATCTGACCGAGCTTCGTGTTGAATCGATGGGACGTGAATACAGTCAATCAGGCGTAAGTGAGGAGGGCCTGAAGTTCCTTTTTGAGAAGTGTACTCGGCTAGAAGATCTCTATTTAGAGTGCTCCGCACGTGCTAGCCTTCCTCTGTCAATCGACCGACTCAGATTGCTCAGAAACTTAAACCTCAGGGCAAGCTTCACTCGGCTTCCCGACACCTTTACTTCGTTGCAGTCTCTCAGAAGCCTCGTGCTGAACTCTTTCAGTCTCCAGTCCTTGCCTCGAAATTTCGGCAATCTGGTTTCCTTAACGTCGCTCAAGTTGATCTGTTTCGGCTCCCAGACGTTTCCAGAATCCTTCGGTGAACTTGCCAGTCTGAGCCTTCTCTCCATGGTGCACTGCTCGACGGTGCAACTACCTGCCGCTTTCACCAAGCTTTCTTCTCTCGCCGTCCTGGAGCTTCGACGCTGCAAGTTCCTTCTCCCGTCGCCCATCAATTTTCCTCGACTGCGGAGGCTCGAAACCCTCATTATGGAAGAAGTCACGGGATTTCGCGACCTAATCGAGTCTCTTGAGCATCTGTGGCGTCTCAAGACTCTGGTTATCAAGTCATGCAGCGATATCACGTCTCTGCCCGAGTCTCTCTTCCGCCTGCCTTCACTCACCAGTCTCACCCTTAACACGTCCTACCTTTCAGTTCTGCCTGACGAGTTTGGACGGTTGTCGCAGCTACAAATACTCGTGCTGGACCTGATGAGTCGCACAACCCTTCCTGATTCCATCGCTCTGGTTACTACACTGCAGGAGCTTTCCCTCAATAATATCTGGAGCTTGGCGTCTCTGCCCGAGGAGTTCGGTCAGCTGATTGCTCTGGAAAAGCTGCACCTGAACAACCTCCATCATCTCACGCACCTGCCCGAATCCCTCGGGCAGCTGACAGTTCTCCGGGAGCTGAAAATAGTGGAGTGTAGGCGGCTGCAGCAGCTCCCGGACTCCCTATCCCAATTATCTTCTCTCGAGCACCTGGAGATTATAAATGGTCCAGAGATCAAGGTGCTGCCAGGTGACATGGGGAACGGTCTGCACCGCTTGCGGTATCTTCATTTAAAATACTGTGCGGCTCTCACCCACCTCCCTCCCATCCCTCTCCCGCCTGACGGCTCTCGAAACCCTTAAGGTTATGGAAGCCATACGCCTCAAAGGCACTCTTCTAGATGGCTTCGGTTGCTTAACAAGCCTCAAGGAGTTGGTTTTCCAAGACATGCCTCGCTTATCTGCCCTTCCTGTCTCCTTGCTCACCAGCCTGGAATTGAACAATTGCCCTAAAATAACAGTCTTTCCTGAGGGGATCGAACGGCTGGAGGCGCTCCAGGTGGTCAAGATCACACGGATGAAAGGCTTGAAGCATCTCCCTGTGTCGCTTGTTAGGCTGCCCCGACTGCAGGTGTTGGAGGTGCGGGGATGTGGTGGGGTTGGCGCACTGCTAGGGGATGAGATAGTGCTTAAACGCACTGACTGGGGTTATGTGGCGGTCTCCAACAGCAGCGCCACCAGCAGCAGCACCAGTAGGGCATTGCTTCCATCCCTCCATAGTCTCAAATTGAAGTCTCTCTCTTTCTATACCCTTAGTCCGGCCCTTGGCCTGCTATCCTCTTTAACGAAGCTGAAGCTTCTAGAGATGTACAGCCTTGAATCTCTCCCTGAAACCATTGGTCAACTCTCGCGCTTGAAAACCCTCCGGATTGATTCGGTCATGCGGTTGGAGGCGCTGCCTGACAGCTTTGGAGGGCTCTCAGGGCTGCGGATCTTAAAGCTGGTTCACCTCATCACAATACGGCAGCTGCCCGAGTCTTTTGGGCAGCTGACGAAGCTTGAGACGCTGGAAATTATTGACTGCCACAAGCTGATGCAGCTGCCAGAATCCTTCGCCAATCTGTCCAAGTTGCAATCGTGCACCCTCACTAAGCTCGGAATCTCGACGTTCCCATGTAGTTTCTGGAAGCTGTCTTCCCTTGAAGAATTGGTGCTCCTGGGACTGAAGCAGGTCCGCAGCTTGCCAGAGTGGTTCTCTAAGCTGCCTAAGCTGCAGGTGCTGCGGGTGGTTGAATGCAAGAATCTGACTCGGCTGCCGCCTTCTATCCGGCAATTGCCGACGTTGCGCGTGTATGATATCTGCGAGTGCCCTTTGCTCTCAGAGCGAGACAGGAGGGGGATTTTTGCAAGGGCAGGCGAGGAGGATTGGGTGGAGGGAGAGGCGGTTGATGAGGGAGAGGAGGAAGGAGGGGAAGAGGCAGAGGGTGAGGAGGGAGGAGATGCGATGGTGGAAGGGCAAGAGGCGGAGGGAGGCAGCAGAGGAAGCAGAGGGTGAGCAGGGAGGAAATGCGATGGTGGGAGTGTCAAAACATATTGTTCTGCTTATTTCACTCTAGGTTGTGTAGGGTTCTTTCCTTAGAGGGTACAACAATCTCTCTCGATAGTCCTTGTACCCCCCCCTTACCTAATCGAACTCACTCATCTAGCTAGTAACTCTAACATGGTATTAAGAGCACAATGCTCCTTAGGACCGAAATTTTAAAAGGGCCCACCACTACTATTTCGACCTGCTGCCCGAGTCGCGCCCCTAGGAGAAACGCGAAATGCGAAAACATGCCCTAGGCGAGACGGTTCCCTTTTCTGCCTAGACGCGATTTTCTGTTCCTAGTCACGTGCGACCCCCCTGACCGAGCCCTAGCTGCCCCGTGAGCCTCTCGCGCGGCCCGTCAGCCCCTACGCCCGGTCCCCCCCTCGTTCCTGCTGCTGCGCGCGCCACTCACGCTGCCCGCCAGCCCCTAGCACGCACCTGATGCGCGCTCCTCGTAGTGCCGCCCCGCACGCACCTGTTGCGCGCCCCTGGTTTGCACGCCCACAGCCCACGCGCGCCTACTGCTACTACGCGCTGCCCAGCCCGAGCTGTCACTGCTGCTGCTACTGACGCTACTGCTGCTACAGCTAGTGCTACTCACTGCTGCTGCTACTGAAGCTAGTGCTGCTACAGCTAGTGCTACTCACTGCTGCTGCTACTGAAGCTAGTGCTGCTACAGCTAGTGCTACTCACTGCTGCTGCTACTGAAGCTACTGCTGCTACAGCTAGCGCTACTCACTGCTGCTGCTACTGACGCTACTCCTGTTACAGCTAGCGCTACTCACTGCTGCTGCTACTGAAGCTAGTGCTGCTACAGCTAGTGCTACTGCTGCTGCTGCTACTACGGCACTTGCTACAGCTGCTACTGACTGAAGCTACGGCTGCTACAGCTAGTGCTACTGCTGCAGCTCCTACTCCAGCACTTGCTACAGCTACTATTGACTGAAGCTACTCCAGCTACAGCTAGTGCTACTGCTGCAGCTCCTACTACTGCACTTGGTACAGCTGGTACTGACTGAAGCTACTTCTGCTACAGCTAGTGCTACTGCTGCAGCTCCTACTCCAGCACTTACTGCAGCTGCTCCTGACTGAAGCTACTGCTGCAGCTCCTACTACTTCACTTGGTACAGCTAGTACTACTGCTGCAGCTCCTACTACTTCACTTGATACAGCTAGTGCTACTGCTGCAGCTCCTACTACTGCACTTGCTACAGCTAGTGCTACTGCTGCTGCTGCTGCTGCCCGAGCCGCCCTGCTACTGCTGCTAATGGAGGGAGTACTGCTGGGAGTGGTGGAGGTGCGGCCTCCCACCCCCACCGAACCGCCCTGCTGCTGTTACTACTGCTGCTGCTGCTACTTGTGCTACTGGGAGTGGAGGAGGTGCTGCTGGGAGTGTAGGAGGTGCTGCTGGCGCTGTAGGAGCTGGAGGTGCTGGACCTACTCCTGACAGTCACTGTCTGTCATGGCCACTTCCGCGGCAGTCGCTGCGGCCAGGGGTGGACAGCAGCGGGCACTGCTTCTCCCGGACGACCCCACCCCTCAGCAGCTTCGTGAGTGGGTTATTCAGCGAGGTCATCCTGGTGGTGGAGGTTATCGTTATGTTAAGACCGCTGCTCTTGGTGTTAGTGAGTCTGCTGCCACTCCAGGTGTTAGTCAGTCTGCTGCCACTCCAGGTGTTAGTGAGTCTGCTGCCACTCCAGGTGCTAGTGAGTCTGCTGCAGCTCTAGGTGCCCGTGAGTCTACCGACGCTCTAGTTGCTAGTGCGTCTACTACCACAGGTCCTGCCTCAGCTGAGGTCTTGCACACGTTCACGCTTGACTCCGGCGCGTCACGTTGCTTCTTCCGTGATTGCACCACAGTCACACCACTCACAGCACCTGTCCCAGTCTCCCTGGCTGACCCCTCTGGGGGCCCAGTGGTTGCGAGAGCCTCCACGGTCCTCCCTTGTCCAGCGGTCCCCTCCGGCTCTTTGTCAGGTCTCCACCTCCCCACGTTCTCGACGAACTTGGTGAGCAACGCTGCCATTCAGGATGTCTGGGTTGATACCTTTATTCCTGGAGGGCAGCGTGTGGCGATCTGTACGTGCTCCCGGACTGGCCGTCACCTGGCTACGTTCACTCGACAGCCTGGGTCTAGTCTGTACACACTGACCACTGCGTCTGCACAGGTGGCTGAGTCAGGTCAGGTAGCTACGTCGAGTCGAGCGTCTGCGTCAGGGCAGTTAGCTGCGTCTTGCTCGTGCCGAGTACTCACGCACGAGACTCAGCGCTGGCACCACCGTCTTGGTCACCCCTCCCTGCAGCGTCTGCGCCGCATGCACTCCCGGCTCCTGGTCACTGGCCTCCCTGAGACCCTGCCCCCCCTCCCGCGCTCACTTGCGCCGCCGTTCCTTCCTTGCGTCGAGGGGCGGCAGCGCGCCGCTCCTCACTCCTCCGAGTTTCCTCCGACCACTGCTCCTCTGCAGACTCTCCACATGGACGTGTGGGGCCCGGCCCCCGTCGGTAACGGACCAGGAGCGCTACTTCCTGCTGGTGGTTGACGACTACACACGCTACACCACAGTCTTCCCCTTGCGGCGCAAGGCGGATGTCAGTGGTGTCTTGATCCGCTGGATCCGTGCTACTCGTCTCCAGCTGCACGAGCGCTTTCAGCAGGACTTCCCAGTCCTGCGTCTGCACTCTGACAGGGGTGGTGAGTTCTCCTCTGGCGTCCTTGAGACGTTCTGCCAGGATGAGGGCATCCGCCAGTCGTTCACGCTTCCGGCCTCTCCGCAGCAAAATGGGATCGCTGAGCGTCGCATTGGCCTGATCATGGAGGTTGCTCGTACCTCCATGATCCATGCGGCTGCTCCCCATTTCCTGTGGCCGTTTGCGGTCCGATACGCCGCGCATCAGCTCAACCTCTGGCCCCGTGTCTCTGCTCCAGAGACCTCGCCCACACTCCGTTGGACGGGACAGCCTGGTGATGCGTCGTCGTTTCGGGTCTGGGGCGCGCTCTCCCTTGTTCGCGATACCAAAGCGAGCAAGCTCTCCCCTCGCACTCTCCGCTGTGTCTTCCTGGGCTTCCCCACCGACGCTCCACCCTGGCAGTTCTACCACCCTGCCTCGCGTCGTGTTCTGTCCTCTCAGGATGTCACCTTTGACGAGTCGGTCTGTTACTACCGACTTCACCCGCACGCGTCCCACCCGGTCCCTCTCGCACCTCTCTTCCTGGTACCAGTCCCCCCCCCGGTAGACCCCCTTCTCCCACAGGGTCCTGCTCCCTCAGGTGTGTCCCAGGTAGACCCACCCCCCTTGGATGAGCCAGTTGAGATCTCTTCTGACTCCTCTGACTCACCTGAGGGGGGTGACGCCGTCGCCGACGACACGGCGACCACTCGCCGCACTCCTCGCTTGGAGACCCCCCCGGGTTTCCCGCCACGGCCGTCTTCGCCGCCTCTGCAGCCTGCTGCTGTGGACACTGGAGCAGAGACTGAGGGTACTGAGCCTGGGGGTGCTGGGACTGAGGGTACTGAGCCTGGGGGTGCTGGGACTGAGGGTACTGAGCCTGGGGGTGCTGGGACTGAGGGTACTGGGCCTGAGGGTGCTGCGACTGAGGGTACTGAGCCTGCGAGTGCTGAGACCGAGGGTGCTGCCTCTGGGGGTGCTTCGAATTCGAGTGCTGACTCTTAGGGTGCTGCGAGTCCTTCTGGTGTTGGTGTCGTCGGAGCTCCTACCGGAGGACCTGGAGCTACTGGTGCTGGAGGTACTGGAGGTACTGCTGGTGCTGGAGATCCTGGAGGTGCTGCTGGTGCTGGAGGTCCTGGAGGTGCTGGAGGTACTGGAGGTGCTGCTGGTGCTGGAGGTCGGGGAGCTGCAGGTGCTGCTGGTCCTGGTGGAGCTGCTGGTGCTGGAGGTACTGGAGGTGCTGCTGGTGCTGGAGGTCGTGGAGCTGCTGGTGCTGGAGGTACTGGAGGTACTGCTGGTGCTGGAGGTCGTGGAGCTGCTAGAGCTGCTGGTGCTGGAGGCGCCGAAGCTGCTGGGGCTGGAGGTGCTGGAGGTGTTGGAGGTCCTGGTGGAGCTACTGGTGCTCTTCGCCACCTTCTCAGTCTTCAGCCAGGTGCTACTGGCTTCCCTGTGGCAGGTACTACTCCTCCGTTGCTGTGTCCACCGGCGGACCAGTCACAGCCGCCGCTGCTACCACACTCCCCACTGCCTGCTCCTGCTCCTTACACTGCGGTGTCAGAGTCCCTGACTGAGCGTCGAGAGCCTGAGACTCGTGCTTCCACCCCTGAGCGTCGAGAGCCTGAGTCTAGCTTTGACCTTGAGCCTGAGCCTAGAGCTGCTGTCCGTGCTCGTGTTCCTCGTGTTCGTCGTTAGCGTGCTCCGGCTGTCCCCGGCACTCACGATATGACACTCCGTCCTTCCTCTGTTCCTCAACGTGTTGTCCTACCGTTACCTCCTGCGTCTTCTTTGCCTGACGTTGCTGACCCTCCGTCTGACCTTACTCGTGCGTCCAGTCCGACTGTTACTCGCCTTCTTGCTACGGTTGTGACGGACCCTACGTTCTCGTCTCCTGCTGCGTCTGCCCTAGTAGCTCAGCTCGTTGACTTTGCTGCTGTGTACCGCCTAGACTACCTTGCGAGTCTTGTCTCTGACCCTGTCCCTGCCTGTCCTCCGTCCGTCGGGGGTGAGACTGCTCTTGGCTGCACTGCCCTTGGCTGTGACGTTCTTGAGGACAGACAGGAGGAGTTGGAGTGCCTTGCTGCCGCTTCACCCCATCACGCGACCATGCTGCTTGCCCCTGAAGGAGACCCGGATGCACTTGACATCCCCACCCCGCGCTCCTACAGGGAGGCGATTTCGGGTGAGTACTCCTCTCAGTGGCAGACAGCCATGGACGCAGAGATGGCTTCCTGGAAGTCCACAGGCACCTACGTCGACGAGGTTCCCCCACCTGGGGCGAACATCGTCAGTGGCATGTGGATTTTCAGGGTGAAGCGGCCGCCGGGTTCTCCGCCTGCCTTCAAGGCACGTTACGTTGCTCGAGGCTTCAGTCAGCGTGAGGGGGTCGACTTCTTTCAGACCTTCTCCCCCACCCCGAAGATGACCACTCTTCGGGTGTTGCTACACGTTGCAGCTCAGCGTGACTACGAGCTGCACTCCCTCGACTTCTCGACAGCTTTCTTGCAGGGTAGCCTTCACGAGGCCATCTGGTTGCGCCGTCCACAGGGCTTCACTGGGTCGTTTCCTGCGGGTACCCAGTGGAGCCTACGGCGACCAGTGTACGGCCTGCGTCAGGCGCCCCGTGAGTGGCACGACACACTGACGAGTCTGTAGAGCCGAGTGGTCCGTACCCAGAGCTTGTGGGCTGCCTCATGTACCTGATGACGTGCACACGACCTGACCTCGCGTATCCTCTCAGCCTTCTGGCTCGCTACATGGCACCCGACAGGCACCGAAAGGTGCACTTTGATGCTGCGAAGAGGGTACTGCGTTACTTGTGCAGCACATCGGGCATGGGGCTCGTGCTTGGAGGACGGGGTCCTGTGGTCCTCACAGGACACTCTGACGCTTCTTGGGCTGACGACCAGGCGACTCAGCGTTCGTCACAGGGCTACACCTTCAGTCTTGGCGCTGGTTCTGTCTCGTGGAGGTCCACTCGTTCTTCTTCTGTGCTTGGTTCCAGCTGTGAGGCCGAGATCTACGCGGGGCCATGGCTGCACAGGAGCTCCGTTGGCTGACCTACCTGCTGACCGACTTGGGGGAGCGGCGTCGTTCTCCTCCAGTTTTGTACGTCGACAACAAGGCAATGCTTGCCTTGTGTCGCGAACAGAGACTGGAGCACAGAACGAAGCACATTGCTCTGCGCTACTTCCTTGCGCGTGAGCTGCAGCAGCGTGGTCAGCTGCGCCTTGCTTTCGTGGCCTCTCGGGCCAACACTGCTGATGTCTTCACCAAGGCCCTTGCGGCTGGTGATCATCAGCGTTTCTGCACTGCTCTTGGGCTTGTGCCCACTCTGCCTCACCTGCTGGTTGCTTGACTTGCTCTTGTTGTACACTGCTATATATCTTTATGCCTGCATGTTTCCTCTTGCTAGGTTGTGATCTGTGTACTGCCTTGCTCTTATAAATCTGCATGTGAACTGGCCTTGTGGCTGCCTGCTTGTGCTCAGACTGTGTGGTGTCCTTGAGATCCACCCTGGGCTTTGCCTTGCTTGTTCTCTTGCTTGACTGGTCTTGTGACCACTGTTAGGCTTGGCTATCCCCTACTTCACCTATGGGGGTGTGTCAAAACATATTGTTTTGCTTATTTCACTCTAGGTTGTGTAGGGTTCTTTCCTTAGAGGGTACAACAATCTCTCTCGATAGTCCTTGTACCCCCCCCTTACCTAATCGAACTCACTCATCTAGCTAGTAACTCCAACAGGGAGGGCAAGAGGCGGACAGGGAGGCAGCAGAGGAGGCAGAGAGTGAGCAGGGAGGAAATGCGATGGTGGGAGGGCAAGAGGCTGACAGGGAGACAGCAGAGGAGGCAGAGGGTGAGGAGGGAGGGAATGCGATGGTGGGAGGGGAAGAGGTGGACTGGTGGGAGGAGGAGGAAGAGAGTAGTGGTGGTGAGGATTGGGATGTTTGGCATGAGTATGGCATGGACAGTGACGATGACAGGGACGATGGGGGAGGCTGGGTGGTGAGTGATGACGAGGAGGAATAGTTAGCACCATGTAAGAACAAGGTGGAAGGAGGTTGTTATGGTCGAATGAGAAGTTGTGATCTTGAATGGAAGATGGGATTGGGATATTAACTACTAGCTTAGTTTGGGTTTATCTTGGTGTTGGTGCAATTTGTGCAAGCTACTTTGGTGTTACCGTTGTTCGCTTGTGAGAGAGCGTGTTGCTATTCGCACCGAAGGCGCCCCTTTGTGTGCTACTGTTCATTGCCGATTGAAAGACGAGCTGGTTCGCTGTTGTCTAGCATGGTGGTTCATGACTGTAAGAGACAACCCATTTGCACCCACATAAGCATAACCACAAATATATTGGTGCTGTTCGCCAGCACCTTTGAAGCCAAAACCCACGGGATAACGACGGGATCAGGAAGGTGGGTCTCGCCTTCCTGATCCCGTCAGTTAGGGTTCGTTTACCTCCGTCAGCTTGGTCAGCCCCTAAAAAGCTGCCGAGCCTCCCCTACCGTCCAAACCAAAAACCAAAGTGGGGGTCTGGCGAACGCCCCCATTTGTCAATCAGATCGAACTGCACGACGGTGTTGGAAACAAAACAAGTGACTTAAGCGCTTCTGATGTGTCGAAACACTAAACTGCAAACGAAGCAAACTACAACGAAGCAACGGCGAGTCAACCAACAGAGGTTGACAAGAGAAGTAACTGCTGGAGGTTACGCGAAGGTCAAAGGTCAGCGACCTTTGACTTGACAAATACAGCGCGACAGCAAGGACAAACAACTGACTCGATACTGAGCAGTTGCCCGAGTCGTCACTGTACCGGTATCGAACCGCAACAGCAACAGTAAAACAGTTATTAGTTGTACCCTTTCATATTCCTTGTAATCTTATAAAAGGCTTGTATTACTTTCTTATAATTAATCTATCTTGCCCTCACATACTAGCGCAAGGTGGTTCAACACTTATTATTAAACGCTTCCGCAACTACAACACTTCTACTCAGAATTTAGCCTTGTAAAGATCCTAAGGGCCTTTCTCAGCCCAACATGGTATGAGAGCAGTCAAGGCAAATTGAACTACATTCAAATCCTCTACAACGACAGAAAGCATGGCAACGCAGAAGGAGAGAAGCTCCTCCAACGGCTCTCCTGGCACTACTCCTACTCCACCTTGAGCCTCTGGCCTCCAGACAGAGGGAGGAACAGCGACAAGACCAGCAGCTGAGTCTACTGAGACTCCCGCGAACCAAGCGACGGGCTTCGACCCAAGCATGATGGAGAAGTTCTTCTCCTTCATGTCCTTCTACGAACAACATCAGCAAGTGGCACCTGCGCAGTCAAACATCAGCAACAACAACAACGATGTTACACCCATGAGTCTCGATGGCTCATCCTATGCGCGCGGAAACCAGCAGCAACCCACATTTGCTCCGTATGAGCCTCAACGTGGCTCAGTCAGCTTTATGCCGCAACAACAGCCTCGACCTGGACAGGAGAAGACACTGGATGCACTCCAGGTTCAATCGCAGTTCGCGCACGTTTTAAAATTACAGACATCAACGCCTTTCGACGGCAAAGACTTCTATACCTGGTCATTCGAATTTGAACTGATGATGGAAGGCGCGCAGATTCTTGGATTCTTCGACGGGTCCCTGCCATTTCCAACACACGGGACGCAGTACGACTAACAACAACACACTTATCAGTCGATGATGGCATACACGATCCTGCTGCGGAATATAACTCCAAACCAGCAGCAGAACATCCGGTCTTATCGGGGATACGGCAACTCCGCCGAGCTCGCGTACAACCATTTGAAGAACCTGTAGCAAGCAACAGACAGCGTCAATCAGAGTCGGTTAATGACACAACTGACAACAGTGGAAATGAAACCCGGCGAAAAGGGGATGGCGTATATCAGCCGTTGTTGCGAATTGCGCGACAAACTCCTTCGATGCGGAGGATCGATATCTGAAGAGGCCTTCGTCACAGTCGTCATCACTGGTCTCGGTCCTCATTGGCGCTCCACTCGAGCCATACTCCGAGCTCACGGGAAGATCTCCGAAGCGGCACTCTGCGCCGAAATACACGCTGAACAACAAGACATGGACCTACACGAAGAGCGGCACAAGAAGAAATCATCAGTGCCCGAATTTGCATTCCACACCCAACGGCGCTTTAACAACTCCAACCGACAGAATAAACAACCACAGCAACAGCACGTACCGCCGTTCTGTCATCTTTGCAAGACGTCAGGACACCCTCGGACTCACTGCCCAAATCTGCATCAGTCAACGACACCACAGCGACAACTTCGGCCTTCAAGCAGTCAAGTGGCCTCCACTCAGACGCACCCCACAAGTCAAGCGCAGTCTTCGACAACCTCAACAACGCAATCTGCACAAGGAACAAGAAACATCGTCAGTTGCATGGCAAGGACAACTGACTCTTGCATCACCAGATCACCACCATACTACTCTCCAGAAGAACAACTCAACGACAGCACCCCTCGCCGCGAATCACTGGAACCGAACCCGACATACGCAGCCATCGCCCAGAGCGAGCCGTCCGGGAAAGACACCTGGTTCTTGGACAGCTGCTCCTGACAGCACATGTGCTCCTCGGGTCGCTTCGTTCAACGGGAACACCAACTGCAGCGTGAAGTCGTCATCACCGTCGCCAACAATCAGAACTTGCGCACACGACGACAAGGCATCGTTCAACTTCAGTCAAGGGAGACCAATGTCGTACTACAAATGTCGAAGGTTTTAATTGCCGAGGGACTCGGGTACAACTTACTCAGTGTCAGTCAACTGATGGCGAAAGGTATTCACCTCGAAGCAGACAGCACCACTCAGGAGTTCAAACTGTACCACGGAAGAGGCGGACTATACATCGGCAAGGCAGTACTGAAGAACAACGTCTTCGTCCTCGACTTTGTTCCAGATCAAGGCACCGCTGACAGCGACGCTATCGTCAACTTCACCTCTTGGACGCATCCGCCAGATCTTGACCCCGACTTCAGTCCTGGAGGCTTCTGGTATTCGCACACTATACCTGAAGCAGAACAAACACGAGCATTAGTGACAATCCAACAAGCAGCAGAGACAACATCGGCAGCAGCAGAGACAACATCGGCAGCAGCAGAGACAACATCGGCAGCAGCAGAGACAACACCAATCGCGGGTCCTTCAACGGCATTAGCTCCAATCGACGACACTCCACCGACTCCTGCGCAGCAGTTGACTCCTACTCCACGAGAAGTCCACAGAAGCGCCAACTTCACCGCTGGTTTTTATTCCAACTCCGACTTGTACAAGCGCTCACCCAGACACCGCGCTGGTGAAGACATCTGGCACGTAAGAATGGGACATCCGAGCAACACGACGTTAAATAACACGATAAGAGCAGGAGTGCTCGATAAAGACTCGCTACTCCTACCCGACGGCAGAGAACTCCAACGAGTTCGAGGAACATGCTTCACCTGCCCTGAAGCTGACTTACCGCATCAGCCTTTCGTCTCTCATCACAACCCAAGTGCACCGGCATACGCACCTCTGGAGAAGGTGTACAGCGACATACTGTACAACCGCGAACCGGGTCAAGGAGCATACAACTACGTTATCACTTTCATCGATGCTGCCACACGATACGTATGGCATCTTAATCTTCCGAGTCGCGACATGGCCTTCGAAGCTTTCGTTGCCTGGCTTCCAGTAGCAGAACGAGAATCAAGAGTGAAGCTGAAAAGCTTCCAGTCAGACGGGGGAGGGGAATATCAGTCCCAGAGGTTCAAGGACTACCTGGCAGAAAAGGGGATCAAAAGGCTCATCTCCCTTCCCTACGCCCATCAACAGCAAGGCGTGGCAGAAAGAATGAACAGGACTCTCCAAAACACCATGCGCAAGCTGCTACGTGGCATGCGGCTACCCAACCACCAGTGGCCTGAAGCGCTGGACCACGCTGTCATGCTGCACAACTTGCTTTCGTCATCATCGCTCCCGAACAACGCATCACCGCATCTGCTGTGGACAGGAAATTGGGCAACACAAAAATGTTACGAGTGTTCGGCTGCATGGTACAGTACCGACCCCCAGCTGCACGCGCCGGTCCATTCTCCCAACGCGCACAATGGGGACTACACCTGGGCATCGAAAAACACTACAACGCGTGGAAGATCTTCGACGTCCACACAAAAGAAACAGTAGCAGCACGTGACGTGATCTTCTACGAACGGCTCACACTTCCAACGTACCTGTACAACTTGGAAACTTCACGCGATGTCACAGGCGGATTTCGTGGGGACCGAGCCTTCGCCTCGGCAGCAGATGAAGCTGACTTGGACGAGCAAAACGTGGACAGAGCTTCGGAAGAAGCCGGACCTCTTCCCTACTGCTCAGTGGACGTTCCAATGGACGACGATAACCCTCGCGAAAGCATCAACGCCGAAGTCTTCTACGACTTCGCTGACAATGGTTACGTTACCCCCGCACGAGTCAACACTGACGAAGCAGAGCGCGTAGGACCCAATTTCTTACCTGATCCAGAAGCAGGAGACGAAGCAGCTTATCCCGAGGACGCAAATCTTCCCCGCTACACACAGAGTGGACTCCAGATCCTCGGGCTCGTAACCGCAGTCCACGGCACGGCGCCACCTAAGGAGCCTGCCACAGTTCAGCAGGCTCTGGGGGGGGAGCACAGGGAAAAATGGCGCGAAGCTATGGACAAGGAGCTAAAAGCGTTGGAAGAACGCAATACCTGGAAAACCGTTCCCATCGGCATGGCACGCAACAAGACAATCCTCACCGGGAAATGGGTTTTTCGTGTGAAAACCAAAGCAGGCGGTACCATCGACAAGTTCAAGGCGCGCTGGGTGGTACGCGGCTTTGATCAAGAGCATGGACGGGACTTCACCGAAACGTTCGCGCCGGTCAGCCGGCACACCTCTCTGCGGATTCTCCTCGCAATAGCCGCCATGAAGAAGAAGAAGCTACGCCAAATCGACGTCGCCAACGCTTTTCTCTGTCAGAATGAG